CCTTGTGCTTTGGCTTCTCTACACTCCAGTGCAATCTTCAGAGTTTCTTCTGACATCCATTTTGGTCTTTTCTTCCTCTTCTGTCTTTGTAATGAACGTTCGCACTCTTCTTAGATGATACCCTTGATATCCTCCCACAACTCATCTGGTCTTCACTCATTAGTGTTCAAGGCCTCAAACCTGTTCCTGAGATGATTCTGAAATTCAGGTGGGATGTAATCAAAGTCATATTTTGGCTCCTGTGGATTAAAAAACTAAACAAAACAAAAAAACCCTTCTTCAACAGGGTAAGAAGAATACCCACAGACTGGGTAAAAAAAATATTTGGCAATGATATCTGATAATGGACTTGTCTCTAACATTTATAGACTACTCCAACTCTACAACAAGAAAAAGGTAATGAGTTTATCTTGCAATATGACTTCTCAAGCCCTGATCGGATCTTGCTACACAGATGGATGGGACTATGTTAATGGAGAGTGCTGGTCTATCCACAAAGGGATTGGCCAGTCTCAACAATCTACAAGGGGACTGGCAAGTCTTGTCAGTAAGTTGAAGATATCTGGTTGCAGAGATAAAATTCACCCCCTAAAAGTTCGGCCCTTTTGATTTTCTGACTCCAGAAGGAACCAAAAACATAATTGTTTCAAGAATCTGTGCCATTATATACTGCCATATCTCTGGATATTCCAATACCGGTAGTATAACCCACATGATTTCTCCAATCCTCTTTTATTTAGCTTTAGTTTGTTCAACTGAACTTTCCAGCCACCACTGAAGTGTGAATGATATCATAAAGGTCATAAAACACCTGAATCATGAAAAATGCAGAGCTCAATGCTTGATTTTTAGAGTATTTGATATTAACAGCAATAGGTGATGAGTACCTACAACTTGATGTTTTCTTCACTTGGCTACCAGGACCCATACTCTTGGATTTTCTCCTATGACCTCGCTAGTTGCTCCTCTTTAAAGCCTGCTATTTCTTGGATTAATATGATCTACTGCTAAATTTGGGTAATCTTATCTTTAAAAGCAACATTTGCTCATTTAGTGATCTCAAGTTTTAAAATAATTATTTTTTAAAAATCTCAAAATTCAGACTTTTCTATTAAAATATCTCTGTGTACAAGCCATCATAAACATGACTAATATTTTTTACATTTTTTTGATTCTTTGTTGCACATGTTCTTCCCCTCCGCCTCTCCCTCCTCTAGCCCACCCCACAATATACTCCTTGTTCCCGATAGTTATCACACACATATACCTTTAAAAGAAAACCTTATCTTTCCCTGACAACTTGTTTCCCTTTAGTCTTCTGCACTGCTAATTATAAAAGCCTGTAGTCATTCTTTACCACATACTCTTTTTCACATAACCCACACCTAACGTTTAAAAATACTGCTATCTCCACCTTCTAAATATATCCAGAATCTGCCTGCTTCTCGCCATCTCAAAAGCTATCACTTTGGACCATTCCATTTTTACATAGATTACTACAATTTTTTGCTAACTGGCAGTAGCAGACAAGTTGCTTTCATGACTACCAAACCATGCCTCCTGGTATTCTTTTTTAGAGGAAAAGATGCTGAAACTGTATCTCACGTAATTCCTTCACCTCGACAGAAGGGGCCAGTCCTCAAAAAAAAAACCATCATGCTGAGAATGGTGGAAGTGTCGGGGGAAAAAGAAGAGACCCAACAAAGATGGACTAGCAGAGTTGCTTTAACACGTTGCCGCACACTTTTAAATGACAACTGTGCTTAGAAACACATGCTGGACGGCGATGGCCATCATTTTCAGCAACGTTTAACACTGGGCTCAATCTAATCAGAGACCGTGAAGTTGGCACAGAAGAGGGAAAAGTTAATTTCTGTTGTTCCAAGGATCTCTGAGTCTTTGTCACCAGACGGCACCTAACAACAACAACAACCTGTTACTGAACAACTCAAAATCTTTCAACCAACAGCCCATGGGAACAGTTGCATTATTCCAGTCTGAATCCAAATTTCAGAAGGTCTGGCAGCTTTTTAACTCTTGACATCCAAAAGATGCTCTTTAATAAAATCTACTTACATTGCAGGGCAGAATATATGGAGATAAAAACTACATAAAGGATGAGAGGTTCACAGTTTACTGAAAACAAAAAAATCCAACTGAGATAAAATGTCAACTAACTCCCTATATATGTCTATTCCAAAAGAACCATTTCAGGCAGTTTGCCCAGCTACTGACTCCCAGTGGAGGTAAAAATTATGTCAAAAAAGAAGGCATTTCAAATTTCTAAATAAGAAAACTGCAGTTCCTTGCACATTTCATTGTACTACTTTGTCTTCCCTCGCTGCCCTCTACAATCTTCTGTTCAACTCCTTAAATATCTTGATTCTTTCCCTTTGCTTTGGCTTCTTATCACTTCACTGCAATATTTAGAGTCTCTTCTGACATCCATTTTGGTCTTTTCTTCCTCCTCTGTCTTTGTAATGACCTTTTGCACTCTTCCTGGATGATATTCTTGACATCCTCCCACAGATCACCCGGTACTCGCTCATTAATATCCAAGGCCTCAAACCTGTTCCCGAGGTGATTTTGAAATTCAGGTGAGATAGACTCAAGGTCAAATTTTGGTTACTGTGGCCTTGATTTCATTTTCCTCAGCGTGAGCTTGAACTTGCATATGAGTAGTTGATAGTCTGCTCAACAATCAGCACCTGGCCTAAAGTATGAGAATGAAATGTGCAAGGGGCTAGAGTCAGAAAATCAAAAGGACTGAACTCTGCATTTCTTAAGCTCAAGGAACTGAAGAACAAATTCAAACCTTGAGTTGCAATGTTTTAAGGACACATTGGGCAGAATATTAAATGATCCAGGGAGCATTAAAAGAAGATGGAAAGAGTATACTGAGTCATTGTACCATAAGAAATTGGTGGACACAGAAGAAATTCATGAAACAATGTATGAGCAAGAGCCTGTGGTGATGAAGGAGGAAGTTCAAATGCTCTGAAAGAATTGGCAAAAATCAAGGTCCCATGAATTGATGGCATACCATTTGACATGTTTCAATAAACAGACACTGTACTGAATATGCTCACCAAGCTGTGCCATGAAATCCGGAGGATAACCACCTGGCCTACTGACTAGAAGTGATCTTTGTTCCCATTCAAAAGAAAGATGATCCAACAGAGTCTAGAAGTTATTGAACAGTATCACTGGTATCTCATGCAAGTAAGATTATGCTAAAGGTTATCGAAAAACGACTGAAATAGCACATCAATAGAGAACTGTCTGATGTGCGTGCTGAATTTAGAAGAGGCCATAGCACTAGGGATATTATAGCTAATGTCAGATGGATATTGGCTGAGAGCAGAGAGTACCAGAGGAATGTCAATCTGTTACATTGACTATGCAAAGGCATTTGACTGTGCGGATCACAACAAACTGTGGCTGACTCAGAAGAACGGGAATCCCAGAATATTTGATCGTGATAATTCAAAACTTATACTTGGACAAGGAGGAAGTCAAGAACAGAGCAAAGAAACACTGCATGGTTGAAAATTGGGATGGGTGGGCATAAAGGATGTGTCCTTTCTCCATATCTTTTTAATCTATATGCAGAACAGATTATCTGGGAGGCTGGGCTCTATGAGGAGAAGTATGGCATCAGGACTGGAGATAGACTCATCAACAATCTGCATTATGCAGATAACACAACCCTGCTTGCTGAAAATTAGGAGGACCTGAAGTGCTTGCTGCAGAGGGTCAAGGACTGCAGCTTTCATTATGGATTGAAGCTCAACATCAAGAAAACAAAGATTCTCACCACTGGGCCGATTGGCAGCATTATGAAGGATGATGAATAGGTTGAGATTGTTAAAAGCTTCAGTTTGCTTGGCTCAACACTCTTGGTACCAGCAGCTAGGAAATTAAAAGACGAATTGCACTGGGAAAGTCAACTGTCAGAGACAGAGTAAGGTGTGCCTGACACAGGCCATGGTCTTTGCAATTATTTGCTATGCATCAGAGAGCTGGACAAGTACTAGGGATGACAGAAGTAGAGTTGATGCCTTTGAGCTATGGTGCTTGAGAAGAATATTGGATATAGCATGGAATGTTAGGAGAACAAACAAGTTCATCCTGGCGAGGGTGAAGCCAGGCTGCTCCTTGGAGGCAAGGATTCTGAAGCTTCATCTTACATACTTTGGACATGTTGCAAGGATCAGTCCTTGGAGAGGGATGTCATGCTTGGGAGGGTGGAGGGAAAGCACAGGAAAAGACGACCCTCGAAGAGATGGATTGATTCTGTCACTGGGGTAACTAGGATAGGTGCATCGGAGACAGTAAGAGTTTGCCTGTCACTGATAGTGACCCTATGTACAACAGCCCTTAACCCTGCTCTATTCCTTGTCAATCTTATTGTCTCAAGACCCCATTAGTGTTGCTATTCTTTTTGGGTGCTGTCCAGTACAATATGACTCATAGCAGCCTATGGACTAAGATCTGAACTGCAGATCTGAATTCTCAATCCTTGAGAGTCTTTCTCTCCTTCACCATCCCTCAACCTATGCAAGCATATGTTTCTCCAATGATTAGCCTCTCCTACCTATACACTCAAGTATGAAAGACATAGCTTCACAACCACTGTCACTTAGAGCACTCTGGCTATACCTTCTCCAGTATCTGTTTGTTCTTTTGACAGTCCATGGAATATTCAGTACTCTTCCCGACTCTTCTCTTGGATTCCCATAAGCCTCAAAATTAGTCATAACTTGTTATAATCCACACAGTCAAATGCCATTACATAGTCAATAAAGCACAAATAAGACATTCTCCCTTTTTTTTTCTTTTAGTAGCAACACACTGCTCAATTGGTATTTAAGTAAAAGTGGGCTGTGACTGAAAATGGTGTCCACCCCAAGACAAACAGACATTCTTCTGGTATTCTTCACTTTCAACCAGGATCCATCTGACGTCAGTAAAGACACCCAAGTCCCACAACCTCTTCTAAATCCAGCTTGAACTTTGAGAGTTCTCTATGGACTGTGCTAGTCATTTTTGAATGATCATCAGCAGAATTTTGCTTGCATGTGATAATGACACAGTTTGATAATTACATTTCATTGGATCACCTTTCTTGGGAATGGAAACAAATATGGTTCTCTTCCATTCAGTCAGGCAGGCAGTTGTCCTCCAAATTTCCTTGCATATACTGGAGAGGGTTGTATCTGGCATTTGAAACATATCACTTTGTATCCCATCAATTCCTGAGGCCTTATTTTTTGCTAACTGTAGCCTGAACTTCTTCCTTCTTTACCACTGACTCCTAGTCATATGGTGGTTGTTGTTGCATACCATCAAATAGGAACTGACCCACACCTATCCCTCAAGCAGGTATTCAGACAGAGACTGTTAATTGCATAGGAGAAGTTTGCTCATCCTTCTGCCACAGAGCAGCTGATGGCCTAGAACCACATGTCTCTAGGATTACAGAGTAGCTTCTTACCATTAGGTGACCAGGAGCTCCCTGAAATATCTCACTGTTAGTCAATTCTTTTGGGTACAGTGATTCTGTGTATTCTCTCCATCTTCTTTTGATACTTCATGGATCATTCAAGATTTTCCCCATAATGTCTCTCATTACCCCACTTCATTTTACATATTCCTCCACCCCCAATCCCTATTAATCTTTGCTGTTTTTTTCCATATTATTGCTCCCTGTTAAGCAGTTACATATATCTTGTGACAGTTAAATTTATCTTGATCATCTTAGGAGGATCCTCCATTGACTCTGCATTATTTTGGTAATGTTCTTTGTCTACCTATTCCAGTTCTATTTTTTTCCCTCCCCCCACCCTTCAGTTACTCTCCAATTTTCACAACAACAGTCTTTTATAGTATTTCTAACATTACTTCTTAATCACAAATTTTTCTATGAGGGATTTACATAAATTCATGCTTACTCATTTATTTCAAGAGTAAAATTGAGGTTATTCTTTCATAAATAGATGTAAATTCCAGAATAAATATTTTTACTATCATATGTAGTTAATATTTTACATAAACCTTGGGTATCAGGAAATATAACATGGAAACTTACCAGGAAGTGATGTGCTGCCACTTTCATTGTCGGTTTCCTTAAATGACTGGCTCCGTCTTTCATTTTGAGGTTCCAAAATGTCTCTATACTTTGAAACCATCAGAACAGAAATAAAGTATACAACTGCCAAGGCTAAGAATTGAGCTTGTTTGCTATCCTCCTGGGGAAAAAAGTCAAAGAAATACCACTACTACATAGTATGATTCATTTTTTATACAATATTTAGATATTCAATTACTTGACTAATTATTGGCATGCCTGCTTGACACAGACCATATGAAGCCGTACTGCTAATTCAAAAGTGGCTCTTGGCTGGTGGTCTAAATCAACCAGTGATTCCACAGGAGAAAGATGGTAACCTCCTCCTATGCAACTATAGCCAATGAACATCCATTGGGAGGTCAATTCTGAATCCATCTGATTCATTAGCAGTGACTTTGCATTTATAAAAACAATATATATAATAATGCATAATAATTGTAATATTAATTTTTGCTGAAAGACAAACATTTTAAAAAACCCTCTGATATTATCAGAAACACAGTAGAATGGCAAAGGATTTCCAAAGAATATTTCAAGTTTTACAGACATCAACAAAGTATGTAAGATTAAAATACACAATGTCGTTGTTAAGTGCTATCCAGTTTTCTACAATGCACAGGGTCCTGGGAAAAACAGCTCTGAATGCTGCCCTTTTCTGTACCGTCCTCACCATCTCAGGTGTGCTTAAAGCCATTATTATCATTACTGTGTTAAACTATCTAATTGAAGTTCATCTTCCCTTCTGCTCACGTTACATCTTTTCCCAGAATGATATTCTTCCCCAAGGACTGACCTCTCCTTACAACATGCCAAAAAAGCCTTGCCTTTAAGTAGCATCTAATATGCACCATGGATAAGAGATAGTTGTTTGTTCTTTTGACAGTCCACAATCATTTATCATTTCCGACACAACAACTCAAAAGAATCAATTCTTCTGTCAGCCTTTGATTGTCCACCATTCACATACATAGCAAGTAATTGAAAAGACCATGGTTTGGCTCAGGTGCATCTTAGTCTTTAAACTAATTTCACTGTTCTTTTGTACTCTGAACCTCCCAGGCTTCACCTTAGCTGCAATTCATTTACTTAGTTATTTACCAATTACTAGTTCAGGGGAATCTGTACATCAAAATTCTTCTGACAACTTTTTGGAAAACTGTTGGTGCTGCCGTTGTTGACTGTGATTTGAGTTGAGCACAACTCAAAGCAACCGTATGAACAAAAGGCCTGAAGCCTTTCTAAAACTATCGTCGTTTCTCCAGGTTCATAGAGTTTCCAGAGGCATGTGGTTTAGGAAGTGGATGCCACTCCTGCTTCTAAACCTGCCTTAAACTGGGAGATCCACCAAACACTGTCTATCATGGGCAGCCGTTATGGTATTTACCCCCCCCAATGGCACAAAGTTCAGCTTCACAAAAACCCCAGATTACCTCAGTACAGCAAACTAACAGAAGAGTGCTGTACAACATAGAAAAATGTTCCTCCAGAATGAAGTAACACTAGTCCCTGCGGCCCAACTGACTTTTAAGTACGAGGGTGAAACCTTTCTATAGCCATCATCATTTCTCCAAGTTCATAGAGGTTCCAGAGGCATGTGGTTTAGGAAGTAGATGTCACTCCTGCTTCTAAACCAGAATCAATCAGGGAGCTCCACCGTAAGTTTACTTAATTAGTTTTTAAAGGAAAAAGTCAAATTTTACCACCACATCACAAAAACTGAAAATACCTCAATTAGTATACGTTTTGGGTAAGGGAAATAAAAAATGTTAACAGTAACAACCTGAAACTTAGAGAGTTATCTAATTTACCTCACCCTTAGCTATATGTACATGAAAAGGAAAATCTGAACTCACATTAATTCTTAGTCTCAGGGTAATATATTTATATTTTCACTAAAATCTGCTTATATAAGAAGTAAATCAAGTTTGAATGTATAATCTTTAGTTTTCAGTGTATAATTATATTTTATTAATTTTCATAAACATTTACAGAGATTTTGGGTTTCCATTCATTCATTGTTGCATTATACTCTCTACCCTCCTCCCAGTTTGTTCTTATCCAAATGCCACAGTGCTTGTCAAAGCCAGTTCTGATTAATCTTCTTTGTCAGTGTGGCCTTTGCCAATCCCTATCACTCCTCCCTGAGAGAGACTTCACCCTGAGTCATAAGGAAAAGGGGATG